CACCCCTTTATGTCTAGATTACAGAAACTCATATTAGTTTATGTCTTGTGACAAATAACATCCCATTATGTCTAGATTACAGAAACTCATATTAGTGTATGTGTTGTGAAAGAAAACATACTATTATGTCTAGATTACAGAAACTCATCTTAGTGTATATGTTGTGACAGAGAAACACCCCTTTATGTCTATATAACAGAAACCCATCTTAGTGTATGTCTTGTTACAGAAAACAGCCCTTTATGTCTAGATTACAGAAACTCATCTTAGGTTATGTCTTCTGACAAAAAAAACCACCCCTTTATGTCTAGATTACAGAAACTCATATTAGGTTATGTCTGGTGACAAATAACATCCCATTATGTCTAGATTACAGAAACTCATATTAGTGTATGTGTTGTGACAGAGAAACACCCCTTCATGTCTGGATAACAGAAACCCATCTTAGTGTATGTCTTTTGACAGAAAACACCCCTTTATGTCTAGATTACAGACACCCATCTAAGTATATGTCTTGTTACAGAAAACACCCCAATGTGCCTAGTTCATAGAAACTCATCTTTGTGTATGTCTTGTCAAAGAAAACACCCCTATGTGTCTAGATCACAGAAACCCATCTAAGTGTATGTCGTGTAACAGAAAAAAAATGTGTCTTGATCACAGAAAACATCCAAATTTGCCTAGATCACAGAAACCTGTCTTAGTGTAAGTCTTGTCAGAGAAAACACCCAAATGTGTCTAGATTAAGAAAAAAAAATCTTTGAGTATAACTTATCACAGAAAAACCACAATGTGCCTAGATCACGGAAATCCAATTTAGTCTATGTCTTGTTACAGAAAACATCCTAATATATCTATATCACGAAAACCCATCTTAGGGAATATCGTGTTACAGAAAACATCCCAATGTGTCTAGATCACGGAAACCCAATCTAGTGTATGTCTTGCTACATAAAACACCCCAATGTGTTTAGAACACGGAAATCCAATTTAGTCTATGTCTTGTTACAGAAAACATCCTAATATATCTATATCACGAAAACCCATCTTAGGGAATATCGTGTTACAGAAAACATCCCAATGTGTCTAGATCACGGAAACCCAATCTAGTGTATGTCTTGCTACA